GTTTCATTGCGAAATGTTGTAAATTGCGGATAATATAGCTTTGCGAAGTTTGCAATTTTCAGTCATTTTAGATTACAAAACGGGAAATTGATTCCCAACACCCGATTTGGACTGTCAATTTCCCGTGCGTAATACAAAATGACTGAAAAACGGCAAACTTCCCATGGCTATATTATCCGCATTTTACAACATTTTGCAACGAAACTTTGGAATATTACTAATTTCGTGATGCTCTTTCAAGCTGTGGTGAAATTTTTGTCTAGATCAAGATTTAGTCTATAATGCAAATCGTCCATTGCCCATTGAGTGGTTCGTATTAACTGGAGCGTGACACTGTGAATATTATTTCTTAAATTTTATTTCAAAACGATTCTGTGTTTACTGTAGTCGTCACTGAGAACACACGCTTCACTTCTCAAATATCGGTCATGCATTTTTAAATTAACTCAAATTTACATCATGAAAAACACAATCATGCAGATATGCAAATACTATACAAATATAAATAAAAACGTTGTCGTTGAATGGAAAATCAGCTGAAAAAGAATACAAGATGGTAAGCGTGATCTTCTCTAGAGTGCCTGCGACAAATTATATTGTGGACTAGTACGTATTAAAGAAAAAGTAGTTCCAAGATTGTTTACTACAAGATAAAATAATAATTGATTTGTGACATTTGTACTACGCTGTTAAAAACCCGGAAGTAACTTTCTCAACAAAGTTGTTAACCTGAGTATCAGGCCCTCGGTATTGAAAGAGGGCCTGACACAATTCGCCTCTAAGGGGCTGATTACATGAACCGGGCCAGCCCGGTTAACCGGGCTGAAAAATGTCACGAAAATCTTCCTTGGGCCGCAAAATGAGTTTTAAATCAGGTTTAGGATGATTTTGCATCTATAATAAACCAATTATTTATCGCAAATTTATTTTACGCGAGTTTTAAAACCACAGTAAGGTCCTAAACAAACGAGTCAGCCCGGTTAACCGGGCCAGCTCGGCACCATGTAATCAGCACCTAAAGCCATGTTCAACATCCAGAATCTGGATGTTATGCTGATTGGCTAAGAGATGATAAAACGCATCATGTGATTCAAACCGGAAATATATGACCGGCGTATGTAAACACCAAAAATATAGCCCGCGTGCAGGCCCAAGGGAACTGATAGTGGGCCTGCAAGCAAGGCCCGGTATTTTGTACTTTCCGCGTTCGCCCACGAACGCGGCATTCTGATTGGCTGTTTGCTGTTGGATTCTATAATTAGGTCAGTGATTCATCACAAAGGCTCTCGATAAGCTCAAAATTCGAAAATTGATCACTTATTTCGATTATAAATGGATCAAGAACAGGCTGTTTATTGTTTACTTGAAGGAAGAGATGTTTTTTCCGTTATGCCAATGGGGATTGCTTGTCGTGAGGTGTTGGAATAGCAACATTACGACTTGGGTAAACTATAGTAACCTTTACTTGAGTTTCATTAATTTCAAACAGACTTGATACGTTATAATATGTTCCTCAAGAAAATTATCTTTTGGTTGATGTTGAGATGCAGTTGCATGTAAGCCTATTCGAAACACTTTGCGATTTACAAGGTTTCGCTGAGAGACCGAAACAGAAGACGGTGTTAAATTGCCGTTTGAAACCGAAACGATCTGGACGCTCTGAACGCTCTCTTCTTTTGTAGAGTTCTTTACCAAATGAAATAACTGAAATAAATTTCGTACTTTCCGCCGCCAACAAGGATTGCATGCACACACGATCTGATAAGTGAGACAATTTATTTATAACAATGCCAATGGCGACAGCGAAGCACACATAAATATAAATGCTAATGTGGTCGCACGACTTCTCTCACGTTTTGAAGTTTGAGACTGGTTTTCTGTTGAAATTCGTCCTAATTTGCCTGTTCCGATTTTAGTTGAAAATGAGCACTTGCAAATTTGGCAATTACTGACTGCGTTGCTTGCTTTTTACTCGCTGGGGCACCTGTGCCCCAGACGAGTATAGGTTTCGGCTCTGTTCTTGGATCGGCAATCTCCAATGTCCAATCTCCAATCGTCGATAGCCACAAAATAGAATATTAATGAGCTGCTTGATCCTTTTCAAAATGGCGGGGCCTTTCGTGTTTCGTGGAGTGGGGCCTCAGCGGGCAAAATGTTTCAAACAATTTCGTGAAAATGTTGAACCAATTGTACCTGTTTCCTATGCATTTTGCATTGTGTCTAACTCTGGACGTTCTTGCTAGTTTATTTAATGCGTATTTCTTGGTGCACGACTCTGAAAATTCGAAATGGGCTATTCCATTTAATATCCGTACCCCCCTGTCGAGGATACATGTTTTTCATTGTCATACCCCTGAAGAATTCCAAGCTCAAAACTGTTTACCCCTGAAGAATTCCAAAATTCCAAGCTCAAAACTCTTTACCCCTGAAGAATTCCAAGCTCAAAACCTTTTACCCCTGAAGAATTCCAAAATTCCAAGCTCAAAACCCTTTACCCCTGAGGAATTCCAAGCTCAAAACCTTTTACCCCTGAAGAATTCCAAGCTCAAAACCCATCACCCCTAAAGAATTCCAAACTCAAAACCCTTTACCCCTGAAAAATTTCAAGCTCAAAACCTTTTACCCCTGAAGAATTCCAAGCTCAAAACCCTTCACCCCTGAAGAATTCCAAGCTCTGAAAAATTTCAATCTCAAACCTCTTTACCCCTGAAGAATTCCAAGCTCAAAACCCTTTACCCCTGAAGAATTCCAAGCTCAAAACCATTTACCCCTGAAGAATTCCAAACTCAAAACACTTTACCCCTGAAGAATTCCAAGCTCAAAACACTTTACCCCTGAAGAATTCCAAGCTCAAAACCCTTTACCCCTGAAGAATTCCAGGGATCCTCGACAGGGGGGGTACGGATATTAAATGGAATAGCCCAATTTGGTTCGTTGAATTCCCGTGCACGACAGGCATAAACATAATATACTGAATCTGAATATAAACGAGCCAAAGACAATTTCAAGGTAAATGGTTATAATTTAAACTGCACAACGTAGTTTTAATAAATAACTACTTTATGAGAAGCATATTGGTGTCATATCAATATAAAAATTATCGAACAACAGTCCATGAAAACTGTAGTGTTCAAGTGTACTCAGTGTGAAATATGATATTGTATTTGTAATGCCTATTATTGGCGCAATAAGGATAAAAATACCACCGTTCGATTCAGCGTAAGAAATTGTACTTACGGATGCCAAATCTGTTACTAAACACCAGTATTCTAGCGATTTATGGCCTTTGAAAATCAAGCGAAATTGTATTGTTGACATTGTTATGGGTCATTCCATTTATTATCCGCACCCCCCCTATGGATGAGCTCTGGTAAAAATGTTACCTGTAGGAATCAGATTTCAGAGAAGTACCCTGTTGGAATCGACAGTATCAATCTAAACCCTAGGAATGCTGCTAATTGCCAATATCTCACTGGTAGGAATCTGCTAATTGCCAATATCTCACCGGTAGGAATCTGCTAATTCCAATGTCTCACCGGTAGGAATCTGCTAATTCCCAATGTCAGACCGGGGGGGGGGGGTGGGTGAGAATAATAAATGAAATTATTATGATTCTCATAATAAATATTTGGCAATATAGTATGCTACACCTTGACGGCAATATCTGACCGGTAGGAATCGGGCCAAAGGAATCTGTTAATTCCCAATATCTGACCAGTAGGAATCCCCTAAGTCCGAATATCTGACTGGTAGGAATCCGCTCATCCATAGGGGGGGTGCGGATAATAAATGGAATGACCCTATTTTACAATCCATGGGGCGACCTTCTATTGTATTTGTATTGCCTATAAATGGCGCAATAAGGATAAAAATACCACCGTTCGATTCAGCGTAAGAAATTGTATTTACGAATGAGAAATTGTACTTACGGATGTCAACTGTATTACTAAACAACTGACAACAGTATTCTAGCGATTTATGGCCTTTGTATTTGCAAGCTAAGCGAAGTGTATTATTTGTTGAGAAATCGCTCAAATTATAAAAAATGCAATACGTTTGATCCTTGATAACTTTGGCATCATTGGTTTTCTCTTTGCCGGCCGTATACCAGTGGATTCGTCTCACTTCTCTCTTCATTTTGATAATATTTTGAGCCCAAAAGCCCCCAAATATTTTATTTTGAACGTTTTAAACTGGCGGCCGACAGAAGAAATATGTAGCATATTTACTATAAAATATAACTTTACTTGTGGGCATCTAAAACGCCGGAAGTTTTATTGGATTGGGATAAAACGCGGATTGCGGAAGCGGATTCCGCCAATGAGGATAAAACGCGGATTCCGTTTACTTATAAAATAACCAAATAAATAAAGCAACAGAATTTACTGTTCCGCAAGTTTTAGTATGCATTTGTTAACTTATTTGTAAAATATTTAAAAATAAAAGGATTCAAAATTTTTCGTGCGTGTACGTGCGTACGAAAAACGCAACAGTGGAAATCAGCATTTAGATCTTAACAGTAATGTGCGTCCGTTGTATAGCCCCAGCGAGTTAACGCTCCATAGAGCGTCTTGTTTGCCGTTAAAACGCTGCCATTTACACATTGTTTATGTTCTGAATAAGCAGAGAAAACCCCGCAACATTTTAATGCGAGTTTGTTTGTTAATATTTGGGTGCTGTCATTGGTTCTTTTTTGACAATTGACGCGCGAATGGGGCGTGTTATGAAAAGGGGCGTTTTACAAGATACCGGGCCTTGCTGCAGGCCCACTATCAGTTCCCTTGGGCCTGCACGCGGGCTACCAAAAATAGAATTTGTAATTTTGTCAATATACTGTTAAAAGTGCTTTATTTCTGAAATTTATTTTCAATTAATTAAGCCTAAAAATGACAAAATAAGTACGAAAAGACGTTGAAAACGCTTTTGCAGCAACATTTTACTCGGTATAAAACTAAAACTACATAGTCATAGTAGAAAGCGTGTCTAAATATCTCGCCGTAATCTTCTGTGCCGTAATAGTCGCCGTGGAACGAAAATATGTGGATGTCGGAAATTTTCAAATATTTAGTTCCAAAAAGCTGAAGCCTTATTTATCAGTTTATTGCCGAGCTGTTTTCCAAGACCTGCAAGGATATAGTAGTCAGTTCGCTCGAACTAATATGCCAACATCAGGCAGAAATTGAAGACAATAGCCGCTGTGTACGGTGTCAGGGTTGGGATAAAACGCGGAAGCGGAATGCGGATTCCGTAAGCGGATTCCGGATGCGGATTCCGCATTTGAGGATAAAACGCGGATTCCGCAAATGAGGATAAAACGCGGATTCCGCATTTGAGGATAAAACGCGGATTCCGCAAATGAGGATAAAACGCGGAATTGCGTAAAAAAGGACGAGAAGAAGAATAGCGTATAAAAAACTTAAATTATTACTTTTTAAGGTCACAACCAATGATCTGAATAAATGGGATAATTCAGAAACTGAAAAAATTCATTTAGGATTCTGCAAGCTATACCTAGGTGTTAACAGAAGAGCCAGTAACGTGGCTTGCAGAAGTGAACTTGGGAAATACCCACTGCTGATTACAATAAAAAAGAATGTACTAAACTATTTTAAACATATTTTTAAACTAGACGACAACTCAATAGTTAAACAATCCTTCCTAATGTCTAAACAACTATTTGAAAAAGGCAAAGAATCTTTCTACACCAACGCAATAAACATGCTTAAATCGGCTCTATGATAATACAACAAATTTGGAAAGTGATATAATCAACTACGATACAAAAACTATTGTAAATAAGATGAAAGATAAATATTTTGAATTTTGGCAACATAAAATGATTAACTCCTCCAAACTATCTTTCTTTTGTACATTTAAAAACCAGTACAAAATGGAAGAATATTTATCCCTTATTGATAACCCAACGATAAGAAGAACATTTTCTCAATATAGAGTAAGTAATCATAAATTGCAAATTGAGCGAGGAAGATACGAAAACGTTTCTCGCGAACAACGTTTCTGCAAACTTTGCAACAACGGTGAAGTGGAAAACGAATATCACTTAGCCTTATCTTGCCCGAAATACGAAGAATTAAGAAATAATTCTAACAACATTCTCAAAAATCTATTTTATCTTAATAACACAATGGAAGGAAAACAAAAACTGTTTGAGCATGCGATGTCTTCAGACGATCCAGTTCTTGTTAACCTGCTTTCTAAGTATATCTTTCACTGTTTTTCGGAGAGAGATAAAAGCCTCAAATCCATGGAAGATTAGGGACAACAATTAGACTAAAAATTGCTTAGATAAATAATAAAACAAAATAAACAAAAAAAAACCCAACATTATATCTTTAAATTATATACTGCTTTTCTACTTGTAAATAGCTTCTTCCTATATATTTTTATAGTTATAGCTTAGACATTACTGACATTTTATATATATATATATAATCTACGCTTAGCAATACCTGTAATTAGGTCATGCAAATAAAGCTTTATAATAATAATAAATAACCCACTTACAAGACAATCTTACCTAAATTCATTAGTATGGAAAATAACTTAACAGCTACAATAATCATATATTATATGGATGGATAAGATCAATGGCACGCAATGTACAATGTACAACAGATATTCTCCCACAACACAAATTGTTTTTGTGTGGATATGCTGAGTTAAACCGAACAGTGTAGTATATCATTAACTGTGCACAGGATTGGATTGAATTATATACTTCACTCATGACCTTCAAAACATCTACTATTCAGTGGTCTTCAATATATGATTGACTTTTTTCCTCGATTAGTTTGTGTATGTTACTGAACAGTTAACATTGGCAAGTGTAAACAACAAGTGACAGAACTTTTACTTCATATGATTACAATAAAGTTTTGAAAATTCGATGAGTATGGATTGACAAGCGACATTTTACTAAATACTAAGCCGGCTGTATAGACACTTCGAATATTGTTTGCATGAAATTTTTATTTCCTGACAGCATAATTATCCGTTACAAGCATAATGACATTAGAAAATTAGTTAAACTTTCTCGGCGGCAGGGGGGGGGGAATTGCTCCTGCTGCCCTCTGTGCAGTGTACAGCCCTGCCCTGTTAGATTTGTATTATGTTTTATTTGTATTATATTGTATTTGCTATTATATTTATCATAATAAGTGATGAAAGTAGATATGGTTTTTGTTTGGTGGCCCATCCTTGGACATACAAAATAATTGGCGGCCCATTGAAACTGCCCCAAGATTTTCCATGGCCCATGCCAAATTACTCCGGCCCACCCTAGCAGTTACTTTATGACCGGTCCCTATGTGACACTAACACATTTTGAAGTTCAGTTGTATTTTCGTCGAAATTTTCTTGTCTTTCCAATACACCGGAGGTTATTTTCAGTTTTGAGCGTATTTGCTGTCTCAGGTTGAAATACATGGCTATGCATATTACTGTATGACATTTTAGGTGGCTCCCAAGGGTTTTATTTCCGGAGGTTACGTTCTTCGTATATATTAAACTAAAACTCGTGTGACTCCAGTATACGAACGAACGTTGTGTTTTAACTCTTTTCGAAACATACGTTTGAATTTTGCTTTAGTTTAAAGAATAAAAAGAGTTCTAAAAGCGACAACGATACTTGGATGTGATGTTTCAAAAGAAGATAATGTAAACTTTTTTTTTTTCAAGCGGTATTCTGGAAGTTTTGAATCGCCGTACGCGAGTTTCGACCGCGAACATTGGGATATGATATAAAGTTTCCTCAAGAATTTGCAGTGTTTTCTCCACAATCTAGCAGCACTTATGACAATAAAGATGATTTAAATAATGAGCCCTCGACGGGTGAAATGAGCAGGGTCGAAACTCCAAACATACCACTATAAATGCAATCTGTAAAAAGGTTGGTGCAGGGATAGGAGTTTTAAAACGAACAAAACCATTCGTCCCCAATGAAACCCTGCACATCATCTATAAGGCGTTAATTCTGCCATACTTTGATTATTGCTCCTCTTTGTGGGATAATTGCGGAATTGTACCAAAAGAAAAACTACAGAGATTCCAAAATAGAGCTGCAAGGGTGTTGACGGTAGGAAGTTATGATACCAACTCCTCTGAGCTCCTTGAACGGTGTGCTATACTTTATGTTAGATTTATATATTCGAAACACTGAACTGCACACATAAGTGGACAGTAGATTATCACGTGACTTTTGATGTTGTTCAAGATGGCGTGGGATTGTAACAAGTAAACAGTTTATATTCGCTTTATATTTGGAATACTGACTAAAGTTTGTACATATTTATAATTATATTAAATGGTTATTGTTATACACATCTTCGAATCCTGATCTAGGATATTCAATATGAAACATGGTCCTTCTTTGAGCCGGATTGAAACGGATTGAAATTTGATATTTTGAGAACAATTCAAGAAATACGAGCCAATTTACGAGTTATTTGAGAGAATTTACGAGTCCTTCGGGAGAATCTACGAGTCCTTTGGGAGAATCTACGAACATATGAGATAATTTTCGAAAGAATTTACGAACGATTGAGTGAAATATTTACGAGAATTTTAGCGATATACGAGTCATATAAAGCGAACATCGAGACATTGGCAAATCTACGAGTATCTGAGTAAGTCTATACGATTATTTGAGCGAATTTACGAGATTTTATTACACTTACAAGTATTTGGAATCATTATATACGAGCTTTAAAGAGAAATAAACGAGAAATTGCGCCTTAGAACAATATACAGTAACTGTGAACCAAAGGGATTATTATAAGGTATTTATATACATTTTGAGAAGTTAGATAAAGAGTATACACGTATTCGAGAGTGTAACATTGTTATTACACTGTAAATTACAAGGAGTTGAATCAAGTCCAAAAGAGTTATTCTGTCACGAAAAACGGTGACAGGATGACACTTTTAGAGTTGATTCAACTCCTTAAAATTTACAGTGTATGAGTGAAGAAGCAACAAAGAAACGTAAGATTCGGGGTGGACAAAGAACCTCAACTAAGAGAACAATAAATGCTTCATCCACAATTCTTGACGATTTTGATCCTTCAAATAAACAACTTACCGAGAAGTTATTACAACAAAAGATTACATTAAAGGAAAAACTAGACATTCTGCAAAATTTAGACAATGATATACTAGCTATTACTGAGGAGAAAGATATTGAAAAGGAGATTGAAGAAAGTGATCTTTTAAGAGAGAGAATACATGCTACAATTGTCAGAATCGATTCTGTTGTGAGCCCTATGAGCCTACCTCCATCACCAAATCCAGAAGGGACTCAAGAAGAAGGGAATTATCATAATTCTAGTACTATAAGTCATTCGTCGGCGAGGATAAAGCTATCAAAATTGAGTTTACAGAAGTTTAAGGGAGATATTAAGGAGTGGACTCCATTTTGGGACAGTTATACTTCAGCTATTCATGACAATCCTGACCTAAGTGATATTGATAAATTTAACTATTTGAAGTCCCTACTTGAATCAAAGGCAGCAGAAGCAATTGCTGGGTTAAAGATTACATCAGCAAACTATCAGGAAGCAGTTGACGTGTTAAACCAGAGATTTGGCGACAAGCAACAGATTATTAATTCGCATATGGACAGCCTTCTTCAACTACCAGCAGTAACAAGCCTTCATGATGTTCAAAGTATTAGACAGCTTTACAATAAGGTTGAATCGCATATCAGAGGTCTCAAGTCTTTGGGAGTAGAGACTGCAACATATGGTAATCTAATGATCTCAATATTGATGCAAAGGCTGCCACCGGGTTTGCGTATTATTGTAACAAAGAAGATGCAAGAGGATGAATGGTCTTTGGATAAACTTATGACAATCTTTCGACAGGAATTAGAGGCTAGAGAAAGAGCAAATCTGCAGTGTTTACCTTCATCAAAGTCCAGTTATCAACGAAATAAACCGGGAACAGCTGCTACTCTTTTCACGGGACTGCATGACACTACCTGTTCTTATTGTCAAGGAAAGCACTTATCTGCAAACTGCAAGACAGTGACCAATGTGGCTGCAAGGAGAGATATTTTGAAACGAAGTGGACGGTGTTTTGTATGTTTAAGGAAAAACCATATTAGTAGGGAATGCCAATCGAACATCAAATGTTTTAAATGTGGTAGACGACATCATGGAAGTCTGTGCATGGGCAGTCAACCCCGACAACATCACCCTAATCCTAATTCTGACCCACCAACCAACCAGCAAGAACCTCGGCATCCACATCAGCCCGCAACAGAGACTGAGAAAGGGGACGAAACCGGAATTGGTGGCAAGAACTTACCAGCACAACCGAACAGAGAAAGAGATCAACAGCAACAAGCTACTACAAGTCAAACCATGTATGTTG